CACCAAGCAATAGAGATACGCCTAATGAATGTTGTACCGCACGATAATGAACGTTTATGGGATTCGAACGCTACTAAAGAAGTACGCAAATGGATTATGGATGATATTAAGAGCAATAATATGATAGAAGTCAAAGTAAATTTTGCTTTTGCTAATACAATATGGATAGATAATTTATTTGTTATGGAGAAATTGAAAGGAATTGAAACTGATACTCGGTTAATAAACCTGAAAAAGTCATTAATTCAGAAACGATTCGCTTCATCTAAAACAGATAACGGGAGATGTATGCGTACTATAATTGATGAGTACGGTTTACTTAATTGGAATACAATAGCGCCGGAAAACGAGACTGACAGCGATATATCTTTTCATAGTTGTGAGAGTGAAAATTCAGATGATTTAAGCTTCTCGTCAGCTTATAGCGATGAGTTCGTCTTTGGAATGGAGTCAAGTAAAAATTTGGAAAGAAATGCAGAAGAAATAAAGTCAAATACAAACAAATTGCCAACTGACAATAAGCAGGAGGTAAACGAGGTAAAACAAAGATACGCCTATGAATTGTTATTCCTCTTTTACCTATCTCTTATTATATTGCAGGCATCGAAACCCGAATCTTCGAATAAAAACAAGGAATGTTGGAGTGAAATGTCTTTAAATGAATTATTTATGGTGGAAATCGGTGATGAAGACGAAAATGGTGATTGGGAAAATATATTCCTTCAATTAACTGGTAAAATGTCTATGAAAAAATTTCATCAACTCAGCGAATTGATTAGCAGACATATTGAGAATTTGAATGCTTCTAATAGCGACAATGTTGTAAAACTCTGCAAACTTCAGCCCTTAGTGCCATTGCTTAATTGCATAGTTAAATACAATAATATGTATTTACGAGCCAAAGTTCATGAAATAGATGAAGGTTTTTACAAATTCTTCCTTTGCGATTATGCTTTCTTTACAAGTGTTAAAGCCGAAAATTTATTTGAAGATTTCTTTTATCCAACTAGTGAAGAAATTGTAAATTTTACCCCATATCAAGCTGTACACTGCAGCTTAGCTGGTATACAATGGAATAGCCTTTGTAAACGATATAAAGTAACGAAAGATTTTTTATACGCGTGCCCCGTACAAGAAAATTCCATTCAATCCAATAAGTGGATAAATTTTCCAATTAATTCTTATAAAATTTTATTGTATGAATGCGGAATGGAAAATGATTTCAAACAAGCGTCAATGTTTAATAAAGTTTTGCTTGATAATGGCATAGCTCTTCATGATCCAGAAACTAGACATTTCTTGGAATTGGAAATAATGTATGACGATAGTGGACCTAATGAAATGGAAACAAATTTAAGTAATAACAACGTTACAACGATTGAAGAACTTTTAGAACAATTAGAAAATTGTGAGGATATGGGCGTAGGTAATGTGGAGGAATTTTTCAAGGCAGCTGTGTCGTTTGAAGAGCCCAAATTGGAATTAAAATCAATAAATGAAACTAATGATCTTGAAGAAAATGCGAAAGAAGACAACGAACAATCGACTTTCGAGTTGCAAAACGAATCTGTCGAATGTTGTATGCCAGGTTTAGAAAATTTATATAAACGTCCGGAAACAACTTGGTATCAAACGGATTACCTGATTTACTTGTCTATGCATGTTCCTGATATTACTGATTATTATTTGAAAGTGAGTAAAGATAATGTGCGCTTTGCTGCCTTCGTTAATTGCGTAGAATATAATTTAATAATTGATTTACTTGGGACCGTAATTCCTCAACTGGTATGCCATGAATTACGAGGTCTCAATGTGACAGTGATTCTTGTGAAAAGTCTATGCATGGAGTGGCCAAGGCTTTTACGGAATCCAGGAAAATTTAATTGGTTAACCTATAATTACAATTCGTTCGACGACAAATCATTTGACAAAGTCACCTCCCAGCAATATATTCAAAATGCTTTAGGCGCTGCTAAAGAGACTTTGACGCAAGAGGAGACCGATTCCGATAATGACAGTGAATTGGATTTGTTTCAAACATATAATTATGTTGAAAAAGATGACCTCGATTTATGTTAGCTGGATTTAACATTCATTCATATGACAATTTTTATTATTATTTCATTAATTTCCATTCAATGTAATTTAATAAAATACTCATCGAATGTCTTATAATAAAATTTTCGATCGATCAATATATATTTCTAATTTTTTTTTTTTTTTTTTTTTTTTTTGTTAAAAGTTCTTCTCAATTCATTCGTTTTGTACTCTCGTACTTTATTTGTTATGAAAATGTTACCCATATCTAATTTCAACTTAACAAAGTTTTCATTAGAAAACCATAGAATAGAAAATAACGGCGCTTAGTAAAAAAACATTCAAACTAATATAATTTCTTCTATTCTTCGCTATTAACCGCTATGATGTATAATTTTTTCTTTCCTTTACCAGAATATGAATTTCTTGTTATTATTTTGCGTCGAGCATAGCTAAAGAGTTTCATCAACCATTTCACACTGGGCACATTTATTAAAGAGAAAAATTTGATCTTGTCGCATATCGGTGTAAGTGACGGTTCATGTCATTTCATTTTTATCACTTCTTATGCGCAAAATAGTTCGTATTTAACGCGATTGTTGTCATGAAAATATTATTTTATATATTCAATATCAACTTGAAAGCAAGAATTTCCAATGCTTCTGGTGATAGCTACATTTTTACAACGGACGGTCTTTTATTGGTGTCGAATTTGATGCTTTATGGCGTTTGTGGTGCCGCGTTCTGAATGTTGCAAACGTTTCCACCAAAATGCATGTACCCCTCACTTTTCGGTGAAGGGTATAAAAATTATGAATTTGAGATTTACTAAAATTACTTTCTGAAAGCCTTTTTTAGATGGGATCAAGGCAGTCCAACTTAAGCAAAATAAGTTTATATATCAAATGCCAATTTTTATTATAAAATGCAAATGAAAAATTAGGCTTTAGAAAGCACACTAATCACTAAGTACTCTACATCGCTCCACAATTACTCATTCATTGTCACGGTAAGATATCTTCTTTCTACGTAAAGGCATATTTGTTATGAAAATCGCTGTATGGAAAGGCGCCTAAAACATGCATTTTCGTGGCCCTGATTTTTTCATTTTTTTTTTTTTTTTTTTAATAGAAAACTACAAGTTCGACTTTTGTACCTTAATAAGATTTACTTTTCATGAAAACCTTTATAGTGGATAAGGTCGACAAAATAGATCCATGTGGACTCAATTGATTACACTTAATTTTTATATTAGTTAAGTTTAGTTAAATAAACTCTTTCAAGGTAATCATAAATTTATCATAATATTTATACAGTAAAAAACTGATCGCCATATTTAATTTTTTAAAGAATTCCATTAACGATATAATTAACAAAAAAGCCTCTAATTTACAAACACACACAATCGTTATTACACTTTTTTCTTGTTTTTTATTACACATTTACAATAGTTGTTTTAACAATTTTCTTCCTTTTTTTTTTTTTTCTTTTCTTTTCTTTTCTATTTTCATCAAAACTTTGTTAAAATATACACAATATAATGTAATAATAAATACAATTAAAAACTAACAAGATGAGAAAAAAAGTTAAAATAATTTGAAATAAAACAAATCGATATCGATCGATTATAATAAAATATAAAGCTAGATAATGAAAAAACTTTTCGTGAAATATCAATAATGTTTTTAAAACCGTACATAAAACAATAACTAAACTAAAAACAGAAAAAAAAAAACAAATGATAAAATGAAAAAAGATCGACAAAATAGATATACATACAAAAAATTGTTTCCTTCAACTTTGGTTGGTTTTCAAGCTCCTTTTACTTATTTATTTATTTTTTTTTTATTTTTATTTTTTTTAATTTTTATTTCCTTTATTGACACGAATGGTTGTTTAAGAATTTTTATGCTTATCGTTAAGCGCAATTTGTTGATTTACCTTATGCTGATAACGCGTCGAAGCCCCCGTAAAGTATATATATATTTATTGTTGATCAATATAACCGTGCATTTCAATTCATTCGACTCTGTACTCGCTTAATTAATGTCACGATGGCAATTCAACAAAAAAAAAAAAAAAAAAAAAAAAAACAGTTTCAACTTTTTCTTGACACTCTAATTCAGTTACAAACGATAATTCAGTCCAAGTCAGGTCATAATTATCTTAACCAGTCAACTGTGTATGACGAATGCATATATAGGTCATAAAAGAAGTAGAAAATTTTGTTAAATCACGAATATATATGTCATGATGAATGTATACTGGCCATCATTATAATCTAATTTCACATTACATATACTCTATATATGACGAATATACTCGTCATCGCAATTTAAATGCACATTTTCCAAAGAAGTCATATTGACAGTTAACTGGTTAAAAGTCATAAATGAGGCAGAATATATATGTAATTGTGTAAACTTACTTATTCAATTATGCCATTATTCAAGCCATGCGCGAATCGTGCGAACATTTACAATATACGCTCGATACGTTGAGTGAATGAATATTTGATTTATCTTGCGATCAAATAACGGACAGAAGTTAGCGATGATAGGATAGGTTGTAAGAAGATATGTTCTTCATTCTCAGTATGTCTGTTCAAAATTTCAAAATTATTTATTTACATTTATGTTTTCGTATTCGTTTTTGTTATTTAGAAACTGATTGTGTTGCGTTCTTGTCACATTGATCACGAGTTATGTTTACTGTTTTACCGGTTTTTTTTTTCTTTTTCTTTTTTTCGGGTTTTTTTTGCCTTCAAGGTAAATATGTCTTGCGGAATAAAAATAATGATAATAAAAATGAAACGTCATAAAAATTAGGGAGAGTTTCGCTATTTCTTTTTTACTTAATTAAAGAGGAGGTAGTGGCACATTACATTTAGCGTTTAAATGGGTTTAGACACAGTTACGGTTATTATTATTATTATTATTATTATTATTATTATTTTTTTTTTTAATATTTTAGCTTATTTTACTGCAACTTGATACTGTTATATTTAGGGGTTTCGCTTTAGCACTTACAGCTATTGATGATCTGAAAAATGCAAAAAGGTAATTAATTATTCAATTTTATATAATCATCGATATGATCGGACTTACCTATTATGTCTCATATGACTTTTGACTAGATCACTGTTGACCAAAGCGGCCATAAGACTTAATTCGCCAGCCATAACGGTGGCACATACGATTTGTGCCAGTTTTTTTGCGTTATCGCCGGGATTATTTCGGTTACTCCCCCGAACGCCGAGTAAATCGAGACATGCGCCTTGTGCTGGTAAACAAGTACCGCCACCCACAGTGCCAACTTCTAGCGACGGCATAGTACAGGTCATGTATAAATCTTCGTTGCTTTCACCTCGACATGCCATACGTGTAGAACAATTGCTTGATGTAACGTTTTGGGCGGGATCCTGACCAGTAGCAAGGAAGACAGCAGTTACCATATTAGCGGCATGAGCATTATTGCCTGGAATTTAATCATTTTAAGAGGCATTTTTAAGTAAAATTTTTCATCAGAGCTTTTAATCTTTTTCTAGAGACAAACCTCCTATGGCTGCAACAAAAACTGAGTAACTTGTGTTTCTTTTAACCTCATGCACTTTACAATTTCGACAATTTTGCAATTTTTTTTTTTTTTTTTTTTCTGATCACTTGCTGCTTCATTTCTTTGATATTATTTTGAGATCACCAAAAACCAAACGCGAACACAGGAAAGTCATGCACTCTTCTAAACTGATGTATGGAAAGGCATGCCGTGCCTTTAGTAAAATAATTAATCTTTTTGCCCTACATCTCTTGAGATACAAGGTGTATTATTTTGTAAAGGGCTATAGCCCCTAAAATACGACTTGAGATACTTTAGATGGATTTAAAAATATTTTCTACTTTCGTAGAACGCACTTATAGATATTTTCCACAAGCATTTAGATAACTTTCAAGTATAAGTACTGGTCAAAAAAGTCCAAGCACAATTCTCTCATGGCCGTAGAAGTGTTCAAAGAGAACGCTTTGATCATAAATTCTATACATTTTGAAAACAAAGGAACTTTGAAGGCAGGACAAGATCGAAAGCTATGGTTTCGAAAGCTATGGTTTCAGTTGTGTCCTGCCTCTGGTTCCTTCAAATTTCGTTTGATTACTTTATGATATTATTTGCTAAGATTCTCTAGTGATTATCGATCCATGTTTTCCATAAATTAATATTTGTCCTACGTCTACGACCGACCTTTGTGCCATTTTTGCAAAAAACTAAAAGGAGGACAATTAAAAAAAAAAGAAAGAAAAAAGCGGACCCTAGATTGGATGGCTGAAAAACTTTTCAAAAAACTAAAAGCCAAACGATTGATCTTAGAAGAAGGAAACCACGAAAGATATGAAGTTTCGACACTCTATGAAGACCGTACTGTGCTAAAAGCTGAGAGCAGTTGAATAATTTTTTCCACTTTTCTGCATACATTGTAAGACGGATCATAGAATATATAAAATTTTTTAAATGAAGTCATGTCCTTTGATCGGTTTGGCTTATAATCAATACCCAGCCTGCGGGCAACAACTTCGAAGGTTTTTGCAAAACAAAAGTATAGTTACTGTAGGCAAATAACCAGACAAACAGATGGACTCTGATCAAGACTATAAATAGTATATTGGCGTCTGAGAGTGGATGTTCTAGATGCTGTCGCTATTTTATTAAAATGAATATATCCGCAACTTTCGGCTGAGGGTACAACAACAAAATGCAAAGAAATTTTTATAAAATTGCTTTAGTTATCCTAGTTTAGTGATCTATTTTCAATGGTCATAAAAAAATTTAAAGACTTGATGTTATGTTACTTATGTACACGTATAGAAATTGTAATATTTGTTCATCTCTTACCTCCAATACTTCCTGCCAACGCACTGCCAAGCATATTTTTCAATTTGTTGCACTCCACCAATGTCTTGGCATCCGTTTTAAGGATATTACGTAAAGTTTGAGCGGGTATAATGCATTCGGTTACAACGAATTTTCCCCGACCATTAATCCAATTAATGGCAGCCGGCTTTTTGTCACAGCAATAATTGCCGCTAAGTGAGATAATTTCCATATCAGGAAATTCTCGTTTAATGCATTCTAACGCCATTTCTGCTCCTTTAGAAACCATATTCATGCCCATTGCATCACCGGTAAGCGCCACAAAACGTATATATATCGTATCTCCATCCATTTTTGGGTCGCAATCCTTGAGACGGCCAAAACGTGAAGTCGAATCAAATTCAGTTTTGATGCGTTGATAATTTTGCTTAATCCATGCTCTAGCCTCGAGGGCACGAGAAATACTGGAAAAGCGTACGCAAGGCGCTCGTGTCATACCAACATCTTCGACATAAGACGTTACACCTTTTACAGATAATGCTTTACAGCCGCGATTTGTGGAAGCAACTAAAGCACCTTCGGTCGTGGCCATTGGTACAAAATATTTCGCACCATCTAACATTAAAGGCCCCGCATAGCCTACCGGTATAGAAACATAACCTAAGACATTTTCACAACACGCGTTCATAACATGACGATAATCGAAATTTCTAAACGGTAAACAGTCTAAACGTTCCATTGATAAGTTAGCCTGTTCGCTAATAACGCGGCGACGTATTTTGACACCACGTTCAGGATCGTCAAGAACACTTTCGATTTTATGTAATGGGCAATGTTGACCACCAGTTTTCACAATGTTTATAATTTCCTCATCAGTTAAATTGATTGCACCGCCATATTCTTCGGTCGAATTCAATATTTCCAGACATTCCTCAAGAGGCCGAGCGATACGCAATTTAACCAACTGTTTGCATTTACTTAACGGCAACAATTGACCATTCGATATTCCGTAATCGGTTTGCGTGGCCGCATTTGCGGTGCTTTGCTCTTCAATTGTGAACAGCGGTATATGGGAATTGGCGTCAACTGCATTAACTTCAACAATAGAATTCGATACTTGAACAAGTGCATTATGCGATCGCGTATTAACGCCAGCGTTGCTTATGTGTCTGGCACGTTTTATTAAACAGCCAGTTTCTGTTTCAAGTGGTTGCGTTTGTGAAGATTTGGCAGCAATTGACACAGTTGTCTGACGTATTTGATCGTGAAGATCTTCACGATTCTCGAAAAATATGAATTTAATGACCAAAGCTATAAGTAAGATGAGTATGACAATTTGATCTGCACTCATTGTTAACCATCTGGAAAAGAACAATTATGAAATTAATTAAAAAGGAAATAAAAAAATAAATAAATAAATAAATAAATAAACTAAAAAATCTCAATTATTTTTTATTTACTTTATTAATAAATCGGTGAATTCAGTTGATTCGGTGCCATTATTATTCGGATTCATTTGCAATTTCGGAGTTAAAGTCTTTTCCACAGTATCGTAATCATTGGTCGAGAATACCATTCTACTATAGATATGTACAATCATCAGACCCGGAGTCATAATGATTTTTACACGCTGTACTACGGGATTGGTTTTTTGTTCTTCGTCGCTGAGAGCTTTTAATAGTATCGATTCTTCTCTTACCAAAGACATATCTTTACCGCTGCGTGATAAATCCAAAATAAGTGATAAGCAGGCCGGATAAAAAGTCATAAAGACAATATAATTGACTATAACTGACATTACGGCAAATGTACAAAGTATTTCTAAACGTTGTACACCCGACAATGTGCCCACACCTATAACCAAAGTTTCCACCACCGTATCCAACGAGATAGCTGGCCCGAGTACTTCTAAGCCACGAGCTATATTATTCGTTACCTCAGCTTGGTTAGTGCCTAATAAGGCCAATTGAGCTAAGGTGCCGGAATTGGATAAATCAATCAGTAGGAAGAGGAAGAATAAAGCATCTCTGTGGAATATGGAAAAAAAAAAAATAAAAATATATTTCTTATGTAATTTAAATGCCAATTATATGCAATAAAATGGAACTTACTTTAAATCTGAAATATCGCTACCTAGGAACTTGATTATTGTCGTCGTAAAGATAAAACTTGAGAAGACGGTAAATAAGCCGGCAATTCCTGAAAAGACAAAAGACATGAATTTAGTAAAGCGTAAGAGTTACTTAATATAATATGAAGTGGGTGCGGCCGATTTTTTCTATTTTCAAAATAAATGTTTTTGTCGTATGGATGTTTGTAGGCGGGTCCTTGGAAAAATTCTTCTGCAAAAAACCGGAGAATGTTTATCACAAATACTACGCAGTTGCGTAGTCAGACAGATGGACACATGAACAAACGGACATGCATTCCAAATTTCAAACTGACCAAGAATTTATATACTTAACGGGGTTTTTAAAACTTACTGCTGCGCCTTACAAAGGTATTGAAAAAAAAATTAAAATTTAATCCACTATAGTATCTTCATTTTTGCGGCTAGGAGAATGTTTACAATAGATATTACAGAGACGGACAGACGGACATAGTTAAATCCATTTCGAATTCGATGCTAATGATGAGAGTACATGTACATTGTGGGGTGGAGGGGCGGGGGGAGGAGAGTTTTCCTTCTGTGCGTTGCAAACGCTTTGACAAAATGAATATACCTTCCATCCTTCGCCGATGGGTAAAAAAATATCGAAAAGCATTAATCTTTTCGATTCATTCAATGTTCAGCGTGCTTCCTGCAGCGAACGAAACAAATCCCATATGCAGGCAATCTCAACATTGTTAAGGGATATTAACGCTTTCTGAATCACTTTTGAAACACATTTTAAAACTGTTCCAAATTTTAAATTAAGTTTTTTTTTTCGCATTTGGAGTCGCATTGCAAGCATATTAAGCGCATATTAGGCATTTATAAAAGACAATTGGAAATAAAGAAAATGTTAGGCACATACTTGGCTTTGTTAATGGTACTGTCACAAGCTGACATTATTATACTTTGGTCAGCAGCAGTAGACACTATTGTAAAACGACCGACGATTTTCGAACGCAGCGATGTATATATAATAACATAACTTGATAATTTTTATTAATAAAGGCGCGGTGCTTGCGGCAAAGCATTTTGTTATTCAAAAGCTTAATACTTTTTACAATGCAGGCAAGATAGTATGGAAAAACAATTTCAACTTTATCAGTTACGCAGAGAAAAATTATGTAAAAGTTTTAACGAGACTGGATCAATTAGTGATCTTAAATATACTGAACGTTTTTCAATACAAGACATTGAAGCAATTCCTGCGAATATTACTGCGAGTCCACTTATATTAATTCGGCACCGGGCTCGCGTGTTGGATGCATTGAGAAACTTTTTGAAACGTATTCTAATGAAAAGATTTGCACCTTCATGCTTATAACTGAAGCGTATTGGTTGTCATGCAAAGCGATTGCTGTTCGTGGAATGACAACAACGCTAACGCTACAAACAAAATCAAAGTACGTAATACATTACTCATTGGAATTGGATACGATGATATGAAGATGGAGGATTGGCTATTGAAAAATTCATAATGAAATTCAGGATTTTTCAATGCTGTACAACGGCACAAGCAATTTCACTAAAACAATTATGTGCTGTGACCTAATGGTCGGAATGTTATGATATTTTGACACATTTCATGCGAATCATATTGAAGAATACCAATTTTATATATATGCCAAATTTTGTTTGTTAGGCACTTTATTATATGATTCTCTACTTGGTCACCGTCAATGCTGTAAGACATTCCTATATTGCAAAGAATAGAAAAGCGATTGATTCCCTTACGTTTTTCATTGTAAAGAATGATTGATTGATTGACTTTATTTAATATTCTCTCTCTCTCCCTCTCTCTCTCTCTCTCTCTCTCTCTCTCTCTCTCTCTCTCTCTCTCTCTTTTATATTAAATTTTGTGTTTTTAATTTTCTATTGTTTATATTTACAAATTTTGCTTAACTTGGCGGAAATTATAATTGCTTTTATTAGATTAGGTTGTTGGTAAGGTGACACTATATCAAATTGCACGATTTGTTTTTCATATCGGATACTTGACACTACTTTCAAGTGTACCATTAAATTTTGCTTATTTTTCATTTTTAAACCTGTAATTTGCATACAATTCGTATAATTGAATGTGTTAGGTTAAGTACACTACACTTGATACTGACAAAAAAATTGTTTCTTATTCATCGATTTAGGCACTCTATGGCCTTGTTGCAGCAAATGCTATTGCATATTACATAATCCCATACTATATACTTTATGAACCAATAAAATGTTGCATAATTTTTATGCTTTACATACTTGGGGCATAAGGGTATATTAAGTTTGTCAGGATGTATGCAACAATCTGAAGTAGTAGATGGGATAGCTGGGAAAAGGCCTTTTATTATATCGATTGATTAAGAATCATCTTCTAAATCTGAACTTTCCGTCCGTCTGTCCGCATTCTTTTCTTCAGCTCAACCCAAAGGGTGTAATTTTTGAGATATTTACATGAATTTAGGTACAATCACGTGTTTTAGCTCAAGGACGAGTGCTGTTGAAAATGGCTCGGATCGGACAATTTTTTCGACCGCTTCTCATATAACACTTAATTATTTGAAATAATTGTTATATGAATAACTGTAGGATAGCGTAGGGTATTCAATGATAAACCATAGCCCGCTATAGAGTTTTTTTAATGCCTATTAACTACAGGTCTGTGCATTTCAATTATATTAGTTCTTGCGCGAACTGTGGAGCACGTTTTAGGTATTAATTTGTATGAAACAAAAAGCTGGTGCAGTTTAAATGAAAACCTGTCTGACTTGGACAATATAAATAAGAGAAATATTCAACTTAAGGATAATTGATTTTCGAATTTTCATAATAACTTCAATAGTATCAATAATCAAGAGCATCAACGATTAATCGAAGATAAATGTATCCATGAAATGCTCTCATATAATAAATACTTAAAATAATAGTCAACGAATACAATGTTTTTGTTGCCGCGAGACATAAAAAGGAAACTATATTTAGTATATATGTAACATCTAAAAAAAGCAACAAAAATAATAACAACAACAAACTGTGAAGGATTTTTACACACGCGGAATATTTCAGTAGATTTTATTCGCAAATAAAATCATGTAACATAAAACTTTGTAATCTCAGATAAAATCAACCAATAAAACGCAACCTTTCCACTGCATATAATAATTTTTGTGCCGATACGTTTGGCCTTCGAATTGTCGGTAAACTGCAAAACTCGTTGCTTAATGCATTTAAAAAAAAGAGAAAACAAAATATGCAAACAATGTTACAAATTGATGGCGAATTTTAGATACCTGCAATTTAAAACTAATTTATAAGTTATGCTAAACTAGATATAAAGTAGGACATGGACAAGGCATATACGTGTCGAGTAAGAAGTGTTTGTTAAAAAATTTGCCGCTAAGGCAAGGCTAAGAATGCCGCCTAGAAGCGTGTACATCTCATAGGCTTCAGATTATTTTGCGATAGTACAAAAGTAATCGTAAAATTAAATATACCTGAACTTTAGGTTAACAATTATAGTACAAAATATTTAAAGTCGTAACAATTTTATTGAGATTTGCTTTAACGTGTTTTGTCTTTTAGTTAAATATCTAGTGCGAAAAAGAATTAATATCATGTTGAGCGATGCATAGGTTATAGAAATTACAAAAACAAGAAGAAGAAGAAGAGGGAAAAGATGAAGAAAACGAAGAAGAAGATTTAGAAAATTTAACCTGAAGCAAGTACAACAGATGAACTTAAAATACCCATTGCCTCCTTGACTTGCTTTGATTTTTTTCGCTACGCAGTTAATAGCTTTTGTTGAGCCAAAGCGTAGATGTTATAGGAAATAGAAGAAGAACTAGATTGAAACCACATAGAACTTGAACAAATTTAAATTTGGCTTTAAGACGAATATTAAAGACGTACCACGTCATTGTGTTGGACTGACTTTTCTGTTACCCCTTTTAATTAATTAACTCATACTTAACCATCTAAACAAAAGCTCGAGAGAGTCAATTAAAAATTTTAAATTAATTATTGGCGGATTTAGAAATCGATTTAGTAAATGAACCCTTACGGTTAGTTTCATCAAGGAAAACATTTAAAAAATATAAAATTTTAGTAATATTTTCGTCTGACAACGATCGGCTAACGAAATTTGAATTAATTTTTAAAAGTAATCTGACGAGAGAAAAAAAGAAACAAAACATTCGTTTTGAGCTCGGAAAATTGTGATTTTTACAGAGAGATACGGATAGACATACCATAGCTGAAAGGGTTTCTCGTTATTGATCTTAATCTAAAAATACGCAACTATACGTAGACATAAATAGAATGCACTGCACTATAAGAAGTGAGGATTGAATTGTATACCAATCTATTAACTAATTTAATTAGTAGTTTTTTATTCGAAAGCAGTACATCTTTACTTTCCTGAAAGAGATAAAATTATTGCCTCATGGAGCAAAGTTTTTTGTATCTTTTCGTTTGCCAACAGAGTAATTTTGCGTGTTGCAAACGCAATAATAAGAGTACTATGCAGCTTTTATTCTATTGATTAGATACAAAAATGTCTAAATCAAGTTTAATAAATTTTTTTTTTTTTTCATTATTATAAAACGAATTTATGTTGTTTTTGACATAAATTAATGTAATTTTCGAGACTAGATTTGTTAAAGTTTATAAGCGATAACGAAAATTTCTCATATACTTTAGTATATATCAAGTGTTACGCTTAAGCTTTAATATATGATCATGATTGAGTGTGCTTTGCAATTATTTTGGACAACTGACATTGAATTACTTGATGTATTAAATAAAAGAAGGCTAATGAGTCTTGTATTATTAACCTACTGAAATGATAATAAGGTGTTGATGGCTTAAAAAATAATAGAAAACTATTATCGTCTCATGGATACATTCATTGAACTAATGTTTAAATATTGATTTAAAAAAAAAAATGCAAATTATTTTTATCATTAAAAAAGAAATGCAGAAAAGGTTTTCGTCTTTCAGATGATTTACTATACGACGAATTAGTTGAATATTCTCTCCCCACTTTGCCATATATCATGGAACACGTTTTTCCAATAATCGCACTAAAATATTTCTAGCATATATTTGGGAGTTATTTGATTAATATGGGGATTATTGGAAAATAAATTTTTTTTCTAGGTGTATAGCACAGGGTAGAGTATTTAACTCATATGCTAATTTTTGTACTAAAATATTTCCCTGGTGTACAGCAAAGGATGAAGTATTTAGCTAATCTTCTAATTTTTGTACTAAAACATTTCGGTGGTATATAGGAAAGAGGGAGTATTTGGCTAATCTTCAAATTTTTTTACTAAAATATTTTCATAGGAAAGGAGGTAATGTATGACTAATATGCTAATTTCTGCACTAAAATATTTCCATGGTATATATGCAAAGGAGGGAGTATTTAGCTAATCTTCTAATTTTTGTACTAAAACATTTCCATGGTATACAGCAAAGGAGGGTGTGTTTGACTAATATGCTAGTTTTTCTACTAAAATATTTCCATGGTATATAGCAAAGGAGGGAGGACTTGACTAATATCCTAATTGTTGTACTAAAACATTTCCATGATATATAGCAAAGGAGGGAGTATTTGGCTAATATTCTAATTTTTGGACATAAATATTTCCATGGTGTGAAGCAGGATGAAGTATTTGACTAATATTCTAATTTTTGTACTAAAAACTTTCCATGGTATTCAGCAAAGGAGGAAGTATTTGACTAATATGCTAGTTTATGTACTAAAATATTTCTATGATATGTAACAAAGGACGAAGTATTTGGCTAATAGTCTAATATTTGTCCTAAAATATTTCCATGGTGTGAAGTAAACGATGAAATATTTGACTATTATGCAGAGTATTTTAACATTATGAGTGTTTGACTAATATCGTCATTATTGAAGAAATTTTTTTCATATGTATATTGCATCAAAACCGCTACTAATAATAATTGACGTTAATCAAATAACTTTTTTATATATATAATGGAAATAGTTTAGTACAAAAAGGAGCATATTAGACAAATACTTTTCCCTTTGCTATAAATACGATGGAAAACATTTTCCAATAGTCGCCATATTAGTCAAATGGTTTTTCCCTTGGCTATATACGCTGAAAATATTTTAGTACAAAAGCTCGACATATTTGTATATGATCATTTAGAACTTATCTATGCCAATGAATTAAGCCTTCATCCGCATATCACATTGAAAACTTAATAAATACTTTGTCAAAAGATGATTTCGCACAGATGTCGAAGTGATGAAGCTTTAGCTTTTTTTTTTTTTCTTTGTATTTAGGTTTATGAAAATTCATTTATATTGCTGTCGATACAATATGTTGGCTAACACATATCTTGAACGTTGTCAACTAATAGCAAGAGTAATGTGAAAAAATTCATATAATATAATTTTTATAGTTTTTATCTTTCATGTTAATGACAATTCGTATTTATGGGCCATCAAAGTTGGTATTGGGTTGTACGGCTCTATACACTGTTTACGATATTACGATAATAATAGTGGATGAATGGCGATAAAGGAATATGGAGACATTTTAATGTTTTGAATGGTGGCAAGATAATGTGGTCGCGTTTAAATCGGGTCAGTTTTTCGGCTTACATGCGAGATTAACTTTCCAACTCCATTAAATTATTTGGTTTTCTATCATGTAACTGCCAATAAAAATTTTTATTTGGAGGAGAGTACACAATGTTTCAGGTCTAGTGGCGGGCTTTTTATTAAGATTAATTTTTTTAGTGCGAGTAATTTAAAAATAAGCAGTAGCACTGCTGGGTTAAGTGGCTGTTGTCATAAAAATTTTATTTGAAAACTGTACGCAGTTTTTTTTTTAAAAGATTTCAATTATATAGAGAAGTTTTTCGAAAATATTTCAGAAGAAGATTAATAAGAATAATACTAATAATAATATTATCTTACATTCTGTGCACGCTATTAAAAGGTGTGACCAGAGATCACTTGCATATATTGTAAATAAATTATGCAGAACTGTTTCATTTCCATTTAAAACTGAGTTTTTTAATGAGATATCTAAAGAGAAGATTATAAAAATTTCAATTAAATCACAAATACAAAAGTTCCATCGCTTACTCTGTGCTCTCTAGTTCATTAAAAATTAGGCACAAATTGAATTTTTATAGCTATGAATAGAATAAGAATGACTTGGTTGCTTAGGGGAATTTAATGTTTAGCGATCATATAACTAAATATTTTCGCCGCGAAATATAAATTTGCGTAAACACAACAATAAATAAAAAAAATGAGTTATCAGTCCTAGCTGTGTGCTTAGCACAAAGCCAATTCCATTAGTGCAGCCTATTAGTTTTCTTATTTGTTTAATCGATCTTGATGACAAGTTCTTTAGCAAATGCAATTAAGTTGGAATTTTTATATCATGTTGATCCAGTGTCCAAGAAGGGCAACTCTTTTCTGCTAATTATCGCACAATTGGAGTGTGGTCTGCGTTAGCCAAAACCGTGGAAACACAGCGACAACTCAGATGCACATGAGCGACGAATTTTTATTCCAGACCCTCGATACTGCTGAGCATCGGCGTACAATGGACTGTGTAGTGCTTATGTATAGGTACATGCAAAATAAATGTCCTACAATAGAGGAGAGACTTATCCTTTATCAACACTGCTTAGCAGTCTCAGTCTTCTAATTAAATCGTCCAAGAATTGCTTGCATATCGTACTGTAAACGCGACTTCCTAGATCTCTAATCATACCGCTTGCCTTTGGAACAAACCTATCGGCCATGATCATTTTCTTACGCCTTTAAAAGTCGAACATACACAAACGCACTCTATTTATAACCGCCTGATCTTCGTCGCCTTTACAGACCTATGAGATATCCTCCGTCATGAGGCTCTATACTACAATGACTTGAAAGTAGATCTAATTTAGATCTATATCTTCTTACAATTATACGAATTTTAATGAAGCAAATAAAGGAAGTTTACGTATTTAATTTATGACTTGAAAATTCGAAAAAATTTACTACCATCCGTGTCACTCATTATTGTGCATTGAGTGGGAAATGTCTGCAATATTCAAATGCGCTTTCTTGTCTTCAACGGTTGCTAGAAAACTTGTAAAGTTTATACAAAGTATTCAACATGTATAAATGTAAATAATTTGAAAATTTGTCTGTCCGTATGTCTGCCTGAGATAATATGACTCGTATTAGGATAACATTTCTGTTTATATGCATGATTGTTCGCTATATTTTGCTTGTATGTACATATATAATATATAACATGCTAAGATAATGACCCACAATCTGCTTGTCCATGACAATTGAATAAGTGTAAGAGGGAAAAACTTAATTTTGAACTCTCTTCAACATACAATAACAAGAATAACAACAACAACAACAACAAGAGCAACAACAACATAAATATAAAGGAAAGAATGAAGAAATTAAGAGAAAAAACAAATTTATTGCATAATATTGTATAAAATAAACAAACAAACAAACAGACAGACAGACAGACAGACAGACAGACAGATTGACTGACTGACGGGGCAAGCACGGAAGAAACCTCAACAAATAAACAAATGCATATAACTATGCATCAGTTTGAATGTAATTGTGTTGCAAACGTACGCTCGCTAAACGCGCACACAAAACATATAATAACCTAACATAGAAGACAAACGTCATCGGTAACAACATGAGAATTCACTAAGATTTACAATAGAAGGCGACAAAATACAAATGTCTATATAATCAAAACAAAAACAATACGAAGAACAAAAATAATAGCAGCACCAGCAGCAACAGCAACAGCAACAGCAGCAGCAGTAGCTGTAGCAGCATAATAACTAAACTTAAACGCAAGTCGTAGGCATGCACATATACAGAGAGACATATTGAATGTCGCAAGCTATAATACTGACAGCATAAAATGGGGGAATGGAAAAAAACAAACATAAACAAACAATTGTCGAGTGCTGGTGATTCAGAGAATTAATACAATACAATGTAGAGTGAGATTAATGACAACAACAACAATAATAATAATAAGAATTACTTGCTTGCATGAATGCATGTGTTTATGCATGCATGTGTGTAAGGAAACAAGAAAACAATCTACTCACCAAGTATATATTTGGAACCCAATTTGTGAAGACTACAAAATTGATAGTAACAATAGAGGACAGCAGTGCAGCGAACAATGGTCATTACGATGACATCAGCCGCATTATATTCGGCCTCTAAGCCATCACATGATCTTGTCCAGCCTCGACACGGTCGATAACGATTAGATGGTGCGGCCGAGGTTGCTGACGTTGCTGATGTTTGGCCACCGCTGTCACCCGACACTGTAAAATGCTGCTGCTTGTCAACTGTTAGCATACATGCTGTCACGGTAAGCAATGCGACTATGACCTCCCATGGATGTGAGGCGCAAAATTCGCCATGAGCCCGAAATAAACGGCCAATCATGATGTTGATGAATTGTTGATTCCAAACGAATACTGTCGATATATGAAAATTTTGAAGAATTTTGATAAAAGCACCAAATGTCCTTAAAAACGATTATGAATGCTGTTGGCGCGATGATGTAAATGATATAGATGATGCTGATAATGATAATGATAATGATGATGATGATAATGATAATGATGATGATGATGATAATGATTTCGATGTTGTCGTTGGTAATGGTCGAGTCGTTCTGCTCGTAGGTTTATCACGTTAAATATATTCACACAAATTTAATAAATATCTTGACTTTGTGGCCTTAAAAGTTATTTTTGCTCTTGTTTTTGTTGCTGCTGCTGTTGTTGTTGTTGTTGTTGTTGTTGTTGTTAGATAAATTAACACTAACAAGAGTTGGCAAATGATAAAAAAAAATAGCAATGGTTTCAATAGAAAATCTCGGTAATGTTAAAAGAAAAAAATAACAATAGCAGCTTTTTTGATACTGATGACGATAATGGCAAAGAACCGTTGTACAGTAAGTTGACTTTCGAATAACAATTGCGATGTGATTGTCGTTTTGATTGGTTTGTATAATAGCAGCAGTCGCAGCAGCAATACTAGTAGCAGCGCACTTATCTTGTCAGTCAATCATATCCGTTATGACTGCATTGGCTTTTGAAATATTTATAGCCGTTAATAACATTTAACTTTTTAAGTGTTTTTCGTTGCCACTGTTAACAGTGGTACTCTAATATCCTTTGTTAAGATCTTGTGAACGCATTAAAATTGTTAAGAAATTGCTATGTGCCAACAATTCTTCTTGCCGCAAGAATTTAAATTTTTTCATAAATTTGTATGAAACTTGTGTTGTGTTGTGTTCGTATAAATTTTAGTTATTCTCTTTTCTCGAATTTAATTTTAGTTACTTCCGAACTGGTTAGTTAGTTAGATGGACGATTTCTGCTCTCAGCATAGCCTTGCAATCGTTATCAGATGAGATGTTGAATTTTTATGCTGTGTAAATCTGAAAGTAAATAATTTTTATTTATCTTTAGAATGCATGTTAAGAAAAAGAAATTTTCATATTCAGTAACATATGGCCCTAATAGGAGAACCGGCAATCGCCTATTTTATTTCTGCCTTTTATCAAAAAAGAGCATAAATTGTTTTGGGAAATGAATTTCTAAAAAGTTTAAAACGGCTTTAACAAGCTGACAGCAGAAACAAAATTAGAAAACGTATCGTTCGCTGTAGTGCCTTGATCGACTTCGGTCTCTTTATCTCCAACAATCTAGTATCAAAATAATCGATATCTATATAAGCATTGCTATGTTAAACACTGCTACTTAAACTAACCTCAATTATTAGTGCAGCCCCTTGACTTTTATACCATACTTTCTCATGATGCATCCCTTAAGTGAAATGATACGAAGAGTCCGCTCGGTTCGATATAAAAATTTTTCATTTTAATGCGGAATACGGAAATTCGTTTTCGAGAAATTTTATCGATGGCATTTTTTTTTTTTTTTTTTTTTTTTTTCAGATAAAGACTATTTTAAAGCAACCCCTTATATGGGCAGTCGTCGCATAAATGGCGTGTTCCAATTTATTTTCAATAGAATTCGTGGGCCAGGACAGGTGAGTGTATCAAATCTCTCTCTTTTGACTTTCAGGGTGTACCCAAGAATACGGCGACGGATGTCGGACGGACAGATAGAGAGAATTGGAGACTGGCTTACAACAACCACAGTTATTTTCTCAGTCTAACTGTGTAACAAAAGATAGAATTGTTTTAAGTCCATCTGTTACATACATCTTCACAAACTTAATACATCTTTATACTACTACAAGGCTTGTAAGATATGAAGACAGATAGGGTACAAAGTTTCATACTCTTTTGTGATGAAAATTGATCTGGACCAAAGGAATCTATTCTTCCAGAATCGCTGCATCACTGCAAGGGTTCTCATAAGCCATAAACTTTAATAAGGAAAAAACGAAAATGGTCCATGACAGGAATTTGACACAAAAAATACATATATCATAGTTAAAATGTGAAGGTCTCTTTTTTTTTGGGGGCCAACTACTATGAAACTTAGTTTTAATTTTTATATATATTCCGTGATTAAAATGAATTTGTTGTAGAAAATTTGTTATAAAAATGACTTGCATCGAATCTGGATGAACTACATTTAATTATGCGATCACATCCTTTTAAGAATATGACAAAGTATAATTTGTAATGGCTGGCGTCTTAGTCAGCTATAACATTTTTATTTGTTTTTTATTCATTACTTTTCACAGATTTCTATTAAGGCAACGGTACACATGTGAAATTGATGCCACAGTACGATATTTGATATGCATTGCACTTAGCTGCCGAGTACAGGCGATTTTCTAAATGAAAAAGTCTAGAGTGAATCATAAATTGATTGTAGAAATTATATCTTAAAACTTCCCGTTAATACTGATAAAATGAAGTGATTACGTGAAGGTAATAAATTTCCATATTTGATTTGATAAGAATAATCCTTTATATCTCAATGGATTGACTTTATCTTTGAATGCGTATTTATTACATTGACAACAATGGATAATATTTCAATATTTATATATTTTATTTTTTTTTTTTATATTTATTGTTATTTCTTTCGGTGTTAATTGACAAGGGTTTTTGTTTACTAAGTTATTGTCAAATAGAAATAATACAAAACAGAAAATTATCATATCCATCGTGTGGAGATGAATTTTTGGTATTCAAAACGGGAATATTTGTAGTAGCAATAGTATTAATTTCTTAAATGGATTCTAATAAAAAAAGAAAAAACGCAAAAAACAACAATAAATGTGATGAAGATATGCAGCTTAGTTCAGAAAAATTTGATTTCTTTTCCCCCTCCTATCCTATCCTATATGGTAAAAAGAGGCTTACCAGTGTTTTAAAAAAAAAATTTATAGGAATCCCTTGCAATGTTATCGCTAAAGAATGATTAAGCTCAAGAGCTTTTCTTCCAAAGATATTACTGGACCACAAAAGTCGCATGCAAAGTCCGGCATTCTTGGCGCCTATTTATTAAAACTATTTCCCTTTGCACGCCATTTGCAGGCTCCCGTACACTTCCGCGGCACGATTTTTATATATTACTCCACGTAGACTGCTGGCAAAAGCAAACACGCTATGTATGTGTGCATGTGTATGTATTACTCATCAGCATAATATTTTAAGAAGATTCCTTGTTGTCGCTATTACTATACTCAAATGTGTGTCCATCCGTCCATTCTCTATTCTCCGTGTATAGTCCCTCTATTTTTTGCTATTCCAACGCCCATGATCATTGCAATTTATATAGAAGATTGGCATTTCGTGTAACTGTTTTCACTGCACCAGCCAGAGGAAAATCTTAAAAATAATAATCAAGTTGCCAGCTCCTTTGCATTGATTAAAAAAGTATTGTCAATCAACCATTATCAGTACAATTCGGATTATGGTTCTGATTCGATCGGTATAATAATAATAAAAGATGACTCCATCTCAAGTTCTTCTGGCGTTGTATACATCTACACAATATTTCTTTCTCCATACAACATATATGAAGGAGCGATGTGGACAAAAGCAATTGAATAATTTACATCATATATATGTACACCTCCATAATAAGATATAAAAAAATATTATTAGAAAGTATTTCTCTAACTGGAATACTTAACTCAAAATTTTTCCTTTAATTTTTCCTCTTTACGAATTTTATTATTTTTTGCAAAATTTTAAATTTTG